ACCCCCAGCAGCTCTCCACGGGGGTTTGTTTGATGCTCGGCGGTCACCCCCTTCCCCTGTGTCGGCCAGATTTGGGGGGGGGGCATGGGCATCCCTTCCGCTCTCCTCCATCCCCAGACCCCAAAGGCGGGTAGGGGAGGTGGGTGAGCTCTGCTTCAGGGCTGCCCTGAGATGTCTCTGGACTCGCAGGGGCCTGAACCCCCCCAAAACCATCTCCCAGCCCCTCCAGTCTGACACCCGCAAAAGCCAGGAGTGCCAAGCCATGTCCCTCTCGGCTTGGGACATCCCCTCGTGGCCTCCCGAATTCCACTGGCTGCTCTAATACAAGACAGTGCAGGACAAACTCCGCCGGCTGCATCTCCATATCCCCCATGCACCTATAGATACACACACCAAGAGACATACACATCCATAGATAGGCAGCCATAGATCCGTGCTACCCAGCCGAGAGTACCAGCGCTCTGGAGACCGGCTACTCGCTCCCCGCAGCCCGTAAAGTCCAGGACCCCCCTCATCCCCACACCCCATCCCCACATGAGATAAATAAAACAAGAACGGCCCCCAAAACCTCTCACAAAGCCCCGGGAGGGCTGCACCGATCCCTTTGGCTGTGTTTTGCTCTGCTAAAACCCCTCTTGCTTGCTGAGTTTTTTTTCTTTTCTCCATTCTTTAATCTTTTGGGGAGGTTTGTTCATTTGTTGGTTTTTTTTTGGTGGGGTTTGGGGGTTTGGTTTTTAGTTGTTTTTCTTGGGGGTTTTTCGTTTGTTTGGTTGGGGTGGTTTTGAGCGAAATTTTAAAAATTTGATTTTCAGCACAGTCCTGAAGAGAAAATTTTAAATAAACAACTTACCCCTTCTCCTCACCCAAATTCCTAATGTAGATTTTTCTTTTTCCTTTTCTTTTTCCTTCTCTTGTTCACTGCCTCTCACGGGTGCATTTACCAACACCCGCAGCTTTAACTCTAAAACCGCTACGGAATTAACTTCAATGAGGGGGGAAAAACTCGAACAAAACGAACCCCCCAAACTGGCACCGTATCGATTTATTTCCTCCTGGGGGGGGGAAGAAGGCACATGAAGGGAGAGCGGAAAGGCCGAGGTTTGTTCCGCACCGTTATTTCCAGCCAGATTTCGTTGACCGCTTCACTTTGCGGGCGAGCGCAGGAAAAAAGGCTCCTCGGAGCGCAGAGCTGAGATTCCACCACCCCCCCCACCACCACCCCCTCCCCCCCGCCTTGTCGCTGGGCTCTGTCCTTGTCCCATTCTTTGCATCTGGTTTTGGGGGGCATAGAAAGTGTCCGAAATCCATCCTCTCCCTCTAGGCTGGCGCTTAAGGCTGGGGCTCGGCTCCTCACGGAGTAGCCTTCTGGCCGTGCGCACCGGCAGCGACGCGATGCTCGGCACCGAGGGCAAGTATTTCCCCATTGAAAGAGGCTGGATATGGCCACAAGGTATTTTTCTCTGTGTGTGCGCGTTTTTTCCTAGAACAGACAAACCCAAGGCAGGTCCTTGAAATCATCAGCTCCTGGTAGAGCTCCTCGGGCGGTTTTAATAGGGTTTAATTGGATTTTTACTTCTTTTCTTTTTTAAGGAAAGCGCTGATATTTAGTAAGAATTCAACGAAGATTTAGTAGAGGAAATCAGCAAGAATTCTGCAAGGCGTGGATAAGGAGATGCATGTCCCGAACCCTGAACATCTGGATACACAGCTGCTTTGGAGAAGGAAAGAAATGAAAAACATCGATATGTTTAATTCTCCCTTCTTTCTCTGCCCACTGACAGCTCTGTGTTCAGAAGCATATTTTTATATATACACACGCACACAGCGTGGTATAAATTACACTGTATATTTAGGTATAGGAGTATATATATATTTATATGTAAGACATGCATTAAGTCCCATCTATAGGCAGTGTTTGTTTTGGTAAGTATAAAGCTACATACTCATTATTACATGCAGATTTATCCCGTGTGCTTAAAATATAAATATCAAACAAGGCAAACCGTGGCCCTTATTTCTCTATGCCCTATTTATGTGCCTGTAACTTTATTTCTATAGGTACTTCTAACCATCCTCCTGCCTATATTGCTGTATCTGCCCTGATTTATGTGGAGACTCATTTTTAAGCTCTATACCGGGCTGGGGCACCCTTTTTGGGGTTTCCCGGTCACAGACTCTTTGTGCCCCCCACAGAGGGTACCCCAGAGTAATGGGGGGGCTGCGTGCAGCTCCGGGGCAGAGGATGGGGCACCCCCGGAGCACTCCCTGCACTGTCCATTCCCCCCCCTTAAATAAATCACTTCCCCTCCTTGTCCCCCCACAAACCCTGCTCCCTCCACCTCTTTCATAGGGATATCTTTAATTCCTCAAAGACTTTTTTCTTTCCCAGTCCCAAAGCTGCTACCATCCCCCACCTCAGGTAGGACCCCAAATTTCCAAGGGAAATCCCGGAACCAGAGTGTAGGAAGAATTAAGGGTGTGAGCATTATTCCCTGAATTGGCTCTGTGCTGCACCATTAACTTTTAGACCTCAGCGAACAGGGAGGCAGCGGGGAGCAAAAGATGGGTGTCCAGTTTAGGGGAGCACACTCCAGCAGGTTGGGGTGGATGGGACAGAGGCTGCCACCTCTGCTTGGGCCATAAAGGGGTTTGGGGCAAGATCCTGCGGAAATCCCCACCCTGTGCAATACCCCCACGAAAGGAGGTTACATCCAAAGGGACAGGGGAGCTGGGGGGTGGGGTCCGTGCCCCCCAGAACATACCCCTTTTTACTTGTGTGGGCTGTGCCTGGGTGTCCCTCTGGGTGCAGGGGTAGTGCGGAGCAGGACAGCCCGGCTGGACTTTGCCTGCAGCGTGGGGCCGGCCGTGGGGCTGTGCCCGTGGTGGTGGTTTGATTTTATTATTATATCCCTTTTTCCCTTCCCTTGCACAGCAATGAAACCTGGCGCCCGGCTGATGGTGCAACAGATACCAGACACCCCCCGGTTACCCCCGCACTTTCCTCCCATCGCCACCCATTTCCACGTGATGTGGGCAAACCAGTCAGCGAGCGGGACTGGGGAGTCTGGCCTCACTGGGGAACCAAAGGAAGGTGGGGGGAAAGCAGGGCTCCACTGTCCCTAAGCTCCCCCCACCACTCCCCCATCTCCTAGTCCTCTGCCTTCCCCGCAGCGAGGGGGTGTCCTGCCCCACGGCCTGCCCCCCTCCACCGCTTGTGCCCCCAGCACCAAAGGTGGGTAGTGTTTCTCTGTCCCCTTGCTCCTCTCCCTCGCTGGACCCCGGCGAGCCCCTTCCTACGGGCCTCCCCTGAAAGCTTCCTCCTATTGTCTCCTCGGGCTCCAAAACAGACTTAATTTTGCCTTTTTTTCCCTCTTTTTTAGTTGATTCTTTCATTATTATTATTATCACCGTTACTATTTTTAAGGCAGGAGGGAAATTCACTCCTTTTTCCCCTCCTGTGGGTCCTGCTCCTCTTTGGAAAGCCCAGTGGAAATGCTCCATCCAAGGCTGGTTACAAGCACACGACCCAGCCACTGCTCTATCCCCTGGGTTTGGGGGGGGGGGGGGGGGGAGCGGGATGTAGAGCTCCCTTAAACCCCATTCTTCCCGGCCCACTTCCATCCTTACCCCTTACCCTGCCTCCGGCTTCTCCCCCTCTCCTCGGCCGCCTGCCCGTCTCCCGCTGTCCTCCCGGGTATCAGCCGTTATCTGCCGATTATCTCTTGTGCTGCTAAATTCAGCCCAGCAGAGGGGTTCAGCCGGGGGAATCTGCTAGTTACACCGCAATCAGTCCCAAGAGTTGTTTCGCTGTCCATAATTGCCCCCATCCAGCCCTTCTCTGGGTGTGATGTGGATTTCTAGGATCCCTCCATGATCTGCAGGGAAAACAGCATCTTAGAAGGTTTCACCCCGTTCCCAGGCCCTCCTTGGGAAGGGGATTTCCCCTGACACCCCTCCACAACGTTTTTTGGGGTCTTGCCACTGCAAGCCCCATACAAGGCCCTGACAGCACCCCTCGGCCTAAGCCATGCCCCTCCACCCCAGCCCCCCCCCCCCCCCTCCCCCAAAGGAGCCCTTATCAAAATCAAACCGTCATGGGGAAAAGCATCCATCACACCCACCCTGCCCTGTGGCTCTGGGAAATGCTTCCCCATCCCAAGCCACAGCATCCCGTGGGTCATCCCGCTGCGCTTCCAGCTTCTCCCAGCTCCCCACGCAGGAAAAAAGGGAGTAAAAACACTCAGGAGGGAGTAGTTTTGCTCCTAGGGGTCTGCTCTCCACATGCCATCACCTGCAAACGAGCAGCATGGATGGGGGTGCAGGGGTTAATGCACCCCCCTTCTTTTAAGCACCCCTCTTCCATGCATGGCCGGCCACGCGTGGGGCAGGCGGGGGGTGACAGGGTCGAGCCAGCCTTCCTCCTTCTCTTCCTCCCCACCATCTGCCTAATTTACCCCCCTCTCCCGCAGCCTCCGTGTCGCCCCCCCTCCGCCAGCCCCACATCAAACACGGGCCTCGGGGGCCATTAACAACTTAAAGCACCGATCGTACCTGCGGGACAAAGGTTTTTGCTCCAGGCCCTAGCAGAGAGCATCGCTGTCTCTCACCTTCCCGGCTGCGCACCCCCCCTTCCACCTCCCCTTTCCAACCCCCCCCAGAAGAACTGCTCTAACCTCCCGATCCCTCCTCCCCGAGGCGGGGGTGGGGGGGTCCCGGCCGCCGTCTCCTCCCGCATCCCCCGGCTGCGGCTCCCCCGGGCTCCCCAAGGTGCTGCTGGACGGGGCGGGAGGTGGGGGGGAGGAGACTGACCCGGGGTTTTAAGCAGCCCAGCCCCATCGTGGAGGGGGGGGGGGGGGGGGAAGGTGATGGATGGAGCCCGGCGGGAGAAGCTAAATCCAGACGGGAGCTAAATCTCTCCGCCGGAGGGACCTGGGCTCCTTGCCTGGGGTCTCGGAGCGGCGGCCGGACCTGCTGAAGGTGGGGAAAGTGGGAGGTGTGGGGAAAAGGGTGCTGGGGGGGGGGGGTTGGAGGAAAATTGCATCGCTGGTGGTGTTTTGGTTTTGGCTGGAAGGCTGCACCCACGGGAGACAGCGCCGGCTCACCGCAGGGGAAAGTGGAGCCGAGGGGTTTCCACCCGCTCCCCACCGCTCTGGATTGTGGCCGGAGACCCGGCCGGGGTTTGGGGAGGTCCATCACGAGATGTACCAGAGTTTAGCCATGGCAGCTAACCCCGGCCCTCCGGCGTACGAGGGGGCAGGTGGCTTCATGCACAGCGCGGCCGCAGCGTCCCCCGTCTATGTGCCCACCACGAGGGTCACCTCCATGATCCCCAGCCTGCCGTACCTCCAGAGCAGCGGCTCTTCCCAGCAAGGCAGCCCCGTCTCCAGCCACTCCATCTGGACTCAACCCGGAGCTGAAAGCGCCGCTTACAACCCGGGATCTTCTCACCCTCCCGTGTCACCTCGGTTCTCCTTCTCCACCAGCACCCCTATCCCTGCCACCTCTTCCCGGGAAGCCGCGGCGGCTTATGGCACCTCCTTGAACCTTTCTGCTAACGGGAGGGAGCAGTACAGCAGGGGTTTCGGCAGCTCCTATTCCAGCCCCTACCCGTCTTATATGAGCCCAGAAATGGCCACGACCTGGACTTCTTCGCCCTTCGACAGCCCCATGCTGCACAACCTGCAGAGCCGAGGGACGCCCGCAGCCGCCCGGCATGCCAACATAGGTGAGCACAGACCGGGTTGGAACAGGGGAGGGAAGGTTTCACCTCGCTGCCTCCACAGATATTTATGCACTCACGGGTAGGGTGAAGAGGAAAAAATTCAGCTTATTTGGGATGTGGCTGTTGGATTTGGCTGCAAAACACGGGGTGCCCAAAGTGCTCCCCTCCCCGCACCCTGCATGCACGTTCTCTGCAAAACCAGCATTTCAAAATATTCCCCAAAACCTCAGTTTCAAAAAAGAAAAAAAGAAAAAAAAAAAAGGCATAATTCAGGATAGGCCTGGAACGGCAAGAAATGATGTGCCGAGCTCCTGCATCAGGGCCTCCCGCTCCACAAACGCCTCCGAGGAGATTTAGGGTCTGCGATGGGGATGATCCTGGTGTGCAGGACCCCGATGTGCATAAGCAGCCCCTTCCTGAGCTTGTCTGAGGTGTAAAATGGGGGAAATCTGCACGGAAAATGGTAAAATTGAAGTGTGGCCCATGAATCCCAGATCTTTCCTTCGAGCTGCTCTGTGTTACGTCTTCTTTTATTTAAGGCCAGTTAGGGTAGAAAAAGGGAAAGAGGGGAAATTTGGTGTTGAGAGGGGAGAAATGATAGAGAAAGATAAATGCATCCACTTTAATTAGTACACTTCCTGAGGGATTCACAGGCACATCTGGACAGCCCAGCCCTGTGTTTCGGTGTCTCCTTGCCCCCCAGAATATCTCAGTCCTGATCTCTTGTGCCGATCCCAATCTTGGAGCCTTCAATTTCATGAAGCACCCCTGTGTCTACAACCAGAAATTGGCCCAAATGGCTTAAAATACTGTTTTCATATTCCGTAGAGAGGAAGAGGGAGAAAGAGGGAGAGAAATGCAGGCACAACTTTGCATTGCTGTTTCATAAGCCCTTCTTTCTCTCCCGTTTTCTCTCCATGAAGGTATTTCTGTCGGCTTTGGGGTTGGGATTAACAAAGAAAACGACTCAAATCTGTGTGCAGATATATTCTGAGATTGCATTCCTTAACCTGAATTTTGGAGGGCAATTTTTCCATCGTGTTGGGCAAGATTTCCTTTATCTTTAGTATTATTTTAAGACTTAAGGAAAGGAAAGTTGGGCATCGGTGGAGGCTTGGCCTCACCAATGCCTTTTGCTTTCCTTTGGGCATTATGAAATTGCTTAAAATGGGGAAGAGATTATCCTTAAGGATAAAGTTTTGTCCAATCAATTTTCGGAAGCGACAAGAAGGTAGAAAGTATAGGGGAAAAAAGTCAGGATGAATCAAATAATCAAATACTAATTGAGTGTTAACAAGGACATAGCGTGTTTGCATTTGACTACTGCGCCATCGCTTCCTTGGGAAAAAAAAAATGTCGGCTTTCTGGAGTGGTCTCAAAAGAGCTCTTAGTAATAAAAATAACTTTAAAACAATGCAAAGGAATATTGCAGTTGCAAAAATACCCATTGGCTTTTAAAGTGCCAGAGACTGAGCGCAGTCATTTGGGGATTTTAAACCAACAGTCTGCCTTGCAGGTCTCGCAGCCTGCATTTTGGTGGCAAAAAGTGCTTTTTATCTGGGCTTTCAAATAGTATTGGAAAGATGGGATGTGCTGAGCCAGGACAGAAAATGTTAGTGGTTGCTAATGAAGGAGGAAGGAGTGGGACCCTTTTCCATTGTCAGGTCCCGATTCACGGCATCGCCTCTGTCCTCCGCGTCAGAAACTGGGGGATTTATTAGCTCGCGTGTAATTATGTCTCTTTGACTAAGGAAAAAGCACTTGGGTTTTAAGTAAAAAGTGTTTTGGTTTTGGTAAATATTAAATTTTGGTAAATATTAAATTTTGGTAAATATTAAAAATAAACTGCCTGAAAGCCGACGAGTTTTAAATTCAGGATCAGAATGGACTTTTTGGAAGGCAGCTCCCCCAGCAAGTAGTTGCCCCTTTCCCTGCCCCTTTCCCTGTTCTTCCCGAGTCGGGATGTGTCCGATGCCGGGCTGCTTCCAGCTGGGTCCCTTTCTCACACCGGGACGATGCTTTACCCAGGCTGCAGGTATTGAGGAGGGGGTCTTGAGGCATGTAAAGACTGGCTGGTGGTTTCTGAGCCAGGAGAAAGGGATTTTTTTCCCCATGAGGGAGGGCAAAAAGCCTTTATGGGCTGAAAAACCAAAGGCATGGAAAGATGCAGTGGGGGGGGAAACACTGCTGTGTACTGCACCCATTGCAGACCCAGTTTAATAACACATCCGAGCCTGGCACAGCGTCGGAGCAGTGCCCAGAACAGTGCAGCTGATTCCTTTCTTTGCCTTTCCTTAAGACTAAAGGTATTTTTATTCTTTGCACTATGAGGAATCTCAAGTTGGAAATACAATCCTTCCTTATATTAAATCAAGTGGTTCCTGCAGTGCATTTTCTTCCAGTGATTTAGCTTCCTGGAGAACCACTACCTTTGGATAGTGCAAATTGCCGAGCACCCCGGGATCATTAGGGTTTTAATTATTCTCATTTTTTAATAACGAAGATCAGGTCTATGCAGATGTAGCTGAATACGCAGACACCGATAGGCAGTTTGTGCAATTGGGCATGGCATTTTTTCCTCACTGTAAAGCAATGCACCAGGAAAAGAAGTTCAGTGAAATGTATTCAAATTAAATTATACTAAAAGAAAGAAAAATCTTCTTTTTCCCTAATAAGAGGGATTTTGGCCTGGGTTAAAAGGTACCAATACAGCTCCGTGGTATAGAGCACCGGGAAGGATGGGTGCAGAAAAACATGGCCCTGTTTGAAAAGCTTTCCCCGGTGTGAGTTCAAAATGCCAGATTTGGGCTTTTCAGAGTAAGTTTGGCGAATGATTTCATTACCCTGAAGGGCAGGATCAGACCCTGCAGCCGAGGCCGTGAACTTGCTCCAGGCATTGCCTTGGATGGGGTTGCAGCAAATTCCCGACTTAATGAGGCATGAAAAGCACCCGCTGCAAAGTGCCCTTTGAAGAGTCTTCCCTGCCAGCCCCCTAAACCTCTTGAAATCTGTCCCAGAATTAGCATGGAGGAGCAGTTTGCTCCTTTCCCCTTCCCCAGGCAGAGGGAGCAGGGATCGAGGGCGGCACAGGAGCCCGAGCGCATCCAGCCCGCTGCTGCTTGCTGTCTCCGGGTTGTTTCCAGGCTGATGATGGAGGGCAGATCCTGGTTTGCCATCTCTGCCTCCTGTAACTTTGCTTTTGGCTAAAAAGCATTGGGTTTTTCTTTTGCTGTCGCATCGAGGAGGTTGGGGTGGTTGGAAGTAAATCGGGGCTAGGGGCTGAGGGCATTTGTAACGGGTGCTTAGCGTTTTGCTTTGACTAAGTCGAAGTCAGGGTTCCTCAAAGAGGAACCATTTGAACGCAGCAGCAGCATCTGGGAAGATCAAAGCCTGGAGCAGACATTCGGTTCGAAAATGCCTTCTCTGCTGCTGGTGGGGGAGAGATTGTGAACCAGATCTCACGCTTTCCCATAGGGATGCTAAGAGATTTGCCTTGTAGCATCCCCAGGGCCAGCGTTTCCAGTAATTCAACGGCATTTGTTACAACCCTCTGCCCTACAAGGAGCCCCTCACCTTCCCCACACACCGAAGGACAAGGTGACTGATTCCTATGGGGCAGTGGGCAACTGGAGGAGCCCAATCCCTGTTATCCTTGCCCTCTTGAGGGATAGGGCCGTAGGACAAGGGACAGGGTCAGAGAGTGGAGGGCTGGGGCCATAAGATGTAGGGATGGGGCTGTAGGATGAGGGATAGGGCTGTAGGATGGAGCGATGGGGCTGTAGGATGGAGCGATGGGGCTGTAGGATGGAGCGATGGGGCTGTAGGATGAAGCGATGGGGCTGTAGGATGAGGGATGGGGCCGCAGGACATTTCTGCATTTCACATGGGACCCTACGTCCCCAGTTTTGCAAGCGGTTGCAATTCTCACCTCGGCTCCGCCGGCGGGGAAGGTGGGCCCAGGGCTTTGTCTTCCCCCCCCTGCAGGTTTCAAGCCACCTTCTGCTCTCCCGCATAATTTAATTGTCACCAGTCAGTCTGGGATTTGGGGTGAAACCCACAGAAGTAAGGTTTCTAATCTCTGAGCAAGATCAAGCTCAAACATGCAACTCATTATTACCACCCAAATCCACAAACAGGGTATTTTAAATTGCAAATAAAGCAACAACAGTAATAAAAATATCACCACTACGGGCACCAGATTACCCTGATTAATAATGCAATTCCTTAATTGAAAATGGAACATTATTACCGCATACAAGGGCATATGTTGCATACAACAGCCATGGTGTAGTACGTAATGCATTATAAATGCTCATGGATTTTTGTAAAGCAGTAAAACTTAAGGCAGCAGATAATGGCACTGAATCTAAGACTTATTAAGCCAGAACTATTTTTCTCTTCCACACATGCACTCATGTATGTGCCTTTATCCTTGCAACAATAACAGCATTTTTGTTTAAGAGCCTATATTTTACTCTCTACATATTTATTTCCACCAGTTTGGGGGGAAAGAGGCAAAATCCTTGGACATGAGTGTTTACCAGGCAGTGTTTCCAAATGGAAATTGGGCCTGATCCTTCTGTTTGGTGCTAGTCTGATTGCAGAGAAACCTTGGCTCGGCAGGCAGAGAGGGGCTCCCCAGAATCAGTTATCCCAAAAGCAGGTATTTTGAATAGACAAACCATTAAAAAACTAAGGATGCCCTGAAAGAAACCCCCTCCAATGAAGCATCAACCAGCAAATAAAGTCCCAAACCAGGTAAAAAAAGCAGCGGCACAGCAAGATGAGCAAGTGTTTGTGCCTGAAGGTCGGCTGGAGGAGGGTGTGTGCAGGGGCTGATTCAGTAAGGGTAGAAAAATGCTGTTTCAGGGAAAATTCAACTTAAAACAATGTGATGGTGTAGTCCTCAAACCTGCAGAGACCTTGATTCTCATGGGCTGAAATTTTTGCTCCTCAAGCTCCACAGAGCTTTGCACATGAAAGAGAAAAGGGTGGAAACAGAA